AAAGAGAGAGACTTACCTGCATGTCGAGTTGGGCGGCCATAGCCGCTGGTGATGAAGAAGACAACTGAGTTTGGTGTTGGATACCAAGACTATTTTTGGACTTCGTATCTCCTGGGTGTCTCATGTGTGTGCGATGTGATGTGAAACTTGTGTCTGAGTGTTCAATGCAAGGTGGTATCATTCCACGGGCATGTCATTGAGGCAACGCCAAGGACAAACACCTCCTCCTCCTCCTCCTCCTCCTCCTTCTTCTTCTTCTTCTTATTATTATTATTATTATTATTTAATTATTAGTATTATTATTATTAACAGCCATCTCGTTAAAACGGACAACGGAATTGGAACCTACTTATTTGTCTGCAAAATGTCACCGTTTTCGCTCCTGAGGGTCCATCTGGACTTAGCTAGAGTCCACATACATCCAAAGGTGTCCGGCATTTTCAGAGGGTGACCTTCTTAAGGCCAAATGAGTAGGTTGCAATTTCATGCAAATTTCAAAAAAATATTTAGAAATATAAGATGTCCGTCTTAACGAAATGGCTGTTTTATTATTATTACTCCTCCGCTTCCTACTCTCTTCTTCTTTCTTTCTTTTTTTTTTAATATATAAACAGGTCCTTATGGCCCTGGCTCCATTTCCATTCTGGGGAGCATCAGTCCGGTTCCTGTTCCACCGGCAAGTCAGGAGAATATTACATCATAGAACTCACCCACGCTTCCTTCCGTCTGGCCGAAGGAACCCTGATCAGCATTGATTACTCCAGCGTCGAGGAGGATTGACTGTCAGCTTGCCCTGTTTACACCTTTCCTCTCAGGACTACTATAAGAACCTGACAGATAAAACGTGCAAAGCAAGAAAGGTCTGAGAAGCTACAACTGCTACCAATGTTGTCTAAACCCTAAGCCCTGCAGCTAAGCATTGTGAACTCTTTTGTATTTTAACCCCTGCTTCTGTCCAAACCCTCAGCCCTAAACCCTAAACCCTAAAGAAGATTAATCTTTTTCCATGTGTTCCATGTGAAACACCGGCTGCTGCCTGTCGTGCGTGTATCTTGGATGTTCTTTGAGGCACAGATTGGAGCTGGTTCCTCAAGTACCTGGGTATTTTGCTGGGATACCGGCTTGACCGAATTTTTCAAAAAGTTACTGATCAGCACTGATTACTTGACTAGATTGGAGGATTGACTGTCAGCTTGCCTTTCGCTGAGTCCCCTCTCTGATCCCTCTGCGGGGAATCTGTTAGTACAACGATAAAGCAAGGAAAACAGAGATCAGAACTAACATAACCCTGGATCATCTCAGGTTGCTCTGAAGTCTTGCTGTTGGTCACAATGTGAATTTCGTGACCCCTGGGCAGCCACCGAGTTATGCCAGTCTTGCCATCTGATTTGCGATCTGTGAATCTCCGCAATCTTTCCGTGGGCCAGCCAAATTCTCCTGAACTTTGGTATCATCTCTTACTGCTTCTCCAGGTCCTGCTGGATTTAGTGGTGACTTTCCTCCACTGGCATCGGATCTCCGTCTCCATTAGAGATTTCGTCGTTGACCATATCTGTTCACTCGGGTTGCTTGACTTGTCGATGGTCCTACATCACCTCTCCTTCCAAATGACCCAAAGTGCTACCTTCCTGATTATCCCGAGCCAGATGTGCTCAGATTTAGTAAATTGAGCAGGGATGCTAGTCCATAAATGTAATTGGATCGGGTGTTCGGGAAGGGAGGAGGGAAATAGGTGGTCCCAGAATAGTGAGGCTCTCGCCCATAAGTCAGTAGCGAATTTGCAGGTTATGGGACAATGAATTAAATCTTCTTGTTCGTTGTCTGAACAGACCACACATTGTTCTGAACTATTTGGGTCAGTATTCTTTCTACGGATGTGTAGCCAAGAGTTTACTGGGACGGCATTATATGTGATCAACCATTGAAGACTTCTGATCTTGACTGGGCGTATTGATTTGTATTTCGTCCAGGGCAACTCAGAGATTGGCTCCATTCTCTGTCCTAGCAGTTTAGTCCATCTTTCTTTGAGGTCAGGCCCATTCGTCTGGGTCGAATTCTAAATCTTGAATTGTTGTATCTACTTGGAATATAGTCTTCGGCCAGATTCCCAGTGTCCTTACTTTTCGAAGAGTATATGAGTTCAGGGTCTCTTCTTGAGGATCAATGGTGTGGACGGTTAGGGTTTTGGGGTTGGTCCGGTCTATTGGGAAGGAGGTGAAGACTCCTGCAAAGTCTGATCCAGGAGATCTGCGATAAAATTGATAGGTTCTTTGTGGTAACGTTTCCTGGATCAGAACTCCCCACTCCCCTGATTTCCAAGAGAAGTCGTCTTTTAACAGGTCATTCCAGCTGACCGGAATGCTGTTGATTATTGTTGCCAGATTCTCATCTCGGTGGTGACAGGCCTTTAGGCGTGTTCTCAGCTGTTACTCACCGATCCTATATTTCCCCTTTTCATCCCAAATGTGGCTGAGTCGCCAGACCCCATGTCTGATCCAAGAGAGCCGTCGATGGCCGTTTGTAAGTGATACTGGGTGCCCCCCCGAGTCCCTTACACATGGGTTTCAGAACAGGGGTTGATGTAGGACTTCCTCTTTGGACTTAGGTTTCTTGACTTTTTTTGGCATAATTTCTCTCCAAATGTGAATGAGAGTTGTCCAATAGGGGGTAGCAGGTTGCACCTTGTTAAGTGACAAGTTTGCGGGTCGTCTCCTTCTGCCCGTCTTGGGTGTCCATTTTTTGTTCATTACCCAGAACAGGCCAGCCATATTGAATGGGCTCTGGACAGGGGCTATATCTATGATGCTATGGAGGGCCAGTTTGTGCCAAGCCAGTCTAGGCTGGGTTAGTAACTTGACTATCCACATGATCTGGAGGGCTTTGGTTTCCTGTTTGGGGTCGATTATCCGTTGTCCCCCTTCGAAGGCCTTCTCGTTATGTAGTGTCAGGCTATCTTAGGGATGTACTTTGTTTTGTTTAGGTCGCCTGACCCTAGGTATGCTCTGGCTCTACTGTTCAGCTCTTTGATAGTTTGGTCTGGTATAGTCCAGATAGAGGCAATATACCACATCATTGAAAAGATGGAGGTATTGATGGCTAAGGCTCTTCCCAGCAATGAGGTGAATGTGGTGCCCCATCTCCTCATTCTATTTATTTGATTGGTCAGCAGGTTTTGTGCCATTTGCGGGGCGGGGCCATCCTTGGTTACCATAATTCCCAAGTATCTCATTGGCTCCTCAAGTCTTTCCCATCTCATTTATGCCTCAGGTCCCTCCATTCGGGGTGTCTCCTCCTCTGATAACCACCAGCCTATCGTCTTTTTCCAATTGATCTTCATTTATGAGGCCAACTTGAAAGCTTCCATTCCCCTGACTAGTGCTTTTATAGAGGAGTCAGATGCCCTTATGAGAACCGTGAGGTCGTCTGCAAACATTATCACTGTTGGGAATTAGATGTGGTGAGGGGTACCGGTATTGAGGTCTGACAACCTTTGGATTGAGGGGTCTTTGCGTAGGAAGGGGGCGATCGCTTCCATACAAAAAGGAAGATCGGTGGGGCTAAAGGGTCTCCTTGACAGACTGACCGGGAGATCGGATAACGTTCGGAAATAAGTCCATTCGCTTGTACACATTTTGAACCATTGTTGTACAAGATCCTGACCCATGTCCTGAATTCAGGTCCCACCCTCATTCTTTCCATGCTCGCATTGAGAAAGGTCCAATTGACTTGGTCGTAGGCTTTCTCAAAATCGAAGAACAGGATAGCTGTATTCATCCTCTTCTCTTTGACTTTTCTTGCTGCCTCGTTAAGAGTTGAGACATTGTCTAGTATATATCCGTCTAGGATAAAACCAGCTTGATCTATGTGAAAGCATTTATCTGTGAGGTTAAATATTCTGAACGCTAATGGTTTCGCCATAATTTTGAAGGGGAGGGTAAAGATGGAGATTGGTCTATAGCTATGTATCCCCCGCGGTCATGACCGCGGGGTCCATCTCGGCCCGCGGTCGTGTACCCGACCGCCGAGGTCGGATGCGGCCAAGATGCCGCGGTCCCGAGTTTGGAATTTTTTTTTTCCTTCGAAAACAATCGTAAAAATAAAAATAAAAATACAGGGATGTAGAGTTTTTTATACTCTACACCCTTGTATTTTTTAAAACAACGTCCAATGCCGTTTAGGCATTAAAAAAAATAAATAACTGAAAATACACACCGAAAAAAAAAACTAAAAAAAATTCGAAGGGCAAATTTTTTTTTGTGTCGAACTACTGCCTATCCATTGGACCATCTGCTTTTTGTTTTTTTTTTCATGTCCGATCAGTGTGTGAATTTTTTTTTTCACAGTATTCAAAAAAGAGAGGCCCATTGTGGTCGTTTTCGTTGACGACAACAAAAAAACGAACGGCTTGCAGGTGTTCCTGTTGCCGTTTCAGATAAAGTCATGCACCTATCTGGAACAACAACAGAAATACCTGTTGCTGTTTTGTTGTCGTCAACGACGTGAAGAGCTGCACACGCAGGAGAGAGAGAGAGAGAGAGAGAGAGAGAGAGAGAGAGAGAGAGAGAGAGAGAGAGAGAGAGAGAGAGAGAGAGAGAGAGAGAGAGACCACG